TCTTGTGATGGTAAACAATATATCCTTTGGCCCGAATGTGTAATGAAAGCTAAGGAACTTGTGGCAGTGGTCGAGACGACCACTAACGATCCATTTACGTTTAAACAAATATGCTCATGATTTCAGTTAATCTCAGCAATACAGAAAAGGCAAAGCAGAGGAGCGAGCGGCGTTCTGAAGTGTCGATTACAGGGCGCCGTGTCCTCAGGTGTTTCATGTCGCTGGGATTAGATGAGTAATGTTCTTATCCTCATCATCCAATTTATATCCCACAGTGTCGGGTCTAAGCCGGGCACTAACATGGGCAAGGAAAACCTGGAGAAAGTCCTGGAAAAACATGGTCCAAATTCAGGTCGGGGGGTGACGTCTGAGAAAAAGTCTTAGTACTCTAAAAGGCTCTACGAGTTTTTGCTGCTTATTTAAAATGTGACTTTTAAACCATCACAGGCCCTTTTTAATCCCAAACTTCCACTTTGAAAACAGCTCGATGTCTCTCTCTGACTTTTGCTCAGCTTTTAAAAGCTTGTCTAACTGCTGCATTTAAATCTTGAGACATAAAGTTGTTTTTGACCGAGAACTATAACGAGAGGTTCTCCCGTTCTAGTGGACCACCCTCTGACTTTAACACAGAAAAAAAGTCATCCATGGCGAGGTAGAAATAATGTACTGTCCTGTTGGGTTGTTCAATTACAAAGATAACTTTTTACAAAAAGACGTTAAATATTTCTAGATAGTTTCAGCAGGATTGCCAATGAAATCCTCCTGATCTGGTTGTTCACACATCAATCAATCAATCTTTATTGTATGCATAATAAGTGTTATCTCGAGAGGCATATGCTCCTCACAGCAGGAGAATAAATACGAAGAGGCTGAGAGAAACATTCAGCTGTTGTGTGTTCACACATGACACTCAGAAATAAAAACTTTAGGAGTTTTCTGCAGGTGTAAACGCCCTACAAAAAACATATAAACATGCTCTTGTGAAGATGGCTAAATGACTTCTGTCCCTTTTGTTTTATCAGGCGAGGTTTCTGATTCAGAGAGCAACAGTTCGTCCTCCAGCTCCGACTCCGACTCCTCTGAAGACGAGGTGTTCAGGGACGGCTACGACGACGACTTGATGGGAGACGCTGAGGACAGAGCTCGGCTGGAGCAGATGACGGAGAAGGAGAGAGAGCAGGAGCTGTTCAACAGAATCGAAAAGAGAGAGGTCCTGAAGAGACGGTGAGTGGGGAAGTTTCAAAGAACGCATGCAGAGACAGGACTGAACAAAAATCTGAAACCTCCAATATCAGTGAAACATCAGAAGTGTTCATTATTTCTCAATGTTTACTCTGTTTGTTTCGACAGTTTTGAAATTAAGAAGAAGCTGAAGACGGCGAAGAAAAGGAGAAAGAGGAGAAGAAGAAGAAGCAGGAGGAAGAGCAAGAAAAGAGGAAGCTGTCCAGGTTCAAGACACACAAGTGGTGAGTTCAGGGACATTTCTCACAATGTTTGACAGATCATATTTTGATAAGAAGTGTTATGTAATGCTTCACTCCTAAAGGTGACAAAATCATATTGCTTTTAATTTCATATAACGTCGATTCTTAGACCCGAGAGCCTGCTGTCACTGTTGAGATTCTCTTTTTGGAACAGACGCGCTCTTGTCAGATTTTGTGAGAGAGCGTACGTTCTTGCTATTTACAACTCTGCGTTCTGTAGGTGATGTCACACAACAAAGAGCGGCGGTCCAAACGGGACGAGAAGCTCGACAAAAAGACTCAGGCCATGGAGGAGCTGAAAGCTGAGCGAGAGAAGAAGAAGAACAAACAGGTCGGTGTGATGTTTGTTTCTCCTCTGTGATGATTTCTGTTGTTCTCAAAGCTGACGTTTTCCTTTCTGTGGCGAGCAGCTGAACTGTTGGCCAAACGTCAACCCCTGAAGACGAGCGAGGTGTACTCAGACGATGAAGAGGAGGAGGAGGAAGACGACGACAAGTCATCGGTCAAAAGTGATCGGAGTTCCCGGTCATCGTCTTACGATGAAGACGAGTATGTTTCATTCTGCTCCTCGGATACGTCGATCACAGAATCTTCTTTTCCCTTTTATTTAAAGAACTTTTTACTCGTTTTTTTCTCTGAACAGAAAAGAAGAAACTCCGCCCAAGTCGCAGCCCGTCTCTCTACCAGACGAGCTCAACAGGATCCGCCTGTCCAGACACAAGCTGGAGCGCTGGTGCCACATGCCCTTCTTCGCTAAGACGGTGACGGGCTGCTTCGTGAGGATAGGCATCGGGAACAACAGCAGTAAACCAGTTTATAGGGTAAGATCTTTTTTTAAGATTTTTTACAGTTTTGTTTATTACATTTTTGTACACAAAGAGGCAATAGGTTCACAGTACTTGTTAAGTACTGAGTGACAGTGTTGCAAGGTTTACATCAACAAACAAAAACAAACAACATTGGAACAGGGTGGTCAGTGTGGTCATACGGCCAGCCTTCCTTCACACTGAGGTGTGCTTCCACTTTGCGGTCCGTGTGGGAACACAGATTAAAGCACTTCTGTTCTGTGCGTACTGAAACGGTCCGGTCCGAGTACGTGTACCTTTACACCCCTACTGTTCAGAATATAAAGCTTGTTGCTGCTTTGATTCAAAGACTCTTCAGTTGAAGACAAGTGAGCAGAGGAGGTGGGCAGAGACTTGAGGGCCGTGGGTCTGAACTTCACAACGTTAATGTACAGGCAGCTAGCAGGATTACAAACGCCACCTGGTGGCTACAGCTGGTACTAAAAAGAGCGACACATGCAAACTAACGGACCGTTTTTGATCATGATGGGATCATCACACAGGAAGAGGCTTTAAAACCTTTATTCCCTGAACACAGACCGTGTCCTATAGGTGTAACGTGTTCTTGATTTTTATTGTACATTTTTTGTCCTCTGTTGTTTTTTTGAAGGTCGCTGAAATCGTGGATGTGGTAGAGACGGCGAAAGTTTACCAGCTTGGGACAACGCGAACAAACAAAGGTTTACAGTTAAGGTTGGTATTCGATTACAGATACTGTGTGTATATCATCAAACATGATGATCAGTCACCATGAACAGACCGCTTTATTAGTTTACAAAGTGTGTGACGCTGTGACCATGTGTCCTCTCAGGCACGGCGGCGACACGCGGGTGTTCAGGCTGGAGTTTGTGTCGAATCAGGAGTTCACAGAAAATGAGTTCATGAAGTGGAAAGAGGCGGTGAGTGTCTTTATTAATGCAAGTCAGCAGAGTCAGTCGTAATCAGTCATCTCACGTCGCAGAATAAAGATATTAATCGTCTCTCTCTGCGTCTTTTTCAGATGTTGGACGCGGCGATGCAAGTACCGACTCTGGACGAAATCACCAAAAAGGAGCAGTCCATCAAAGAAGCTATGAACTACAAGTTCAACGACAAAGACATTGAGGATGTGAGTCTGTGTGTCTGCATGATCTCCGTTGCCTCGTGCCATAACCAGCAGAATAAATCTAACATGTCGTTTGTCTCTGCTGCAGATTGTTAAAGAGAAGGACAGATTCCGGAAAGCACCGCCCAACTATGCCATGAAGAAGACGCAGCTCCTCAAAGATAAGGTGAGATATGGTGTTGTTATAATGATCTCTGCAGCTCAGTGTAAACCCAGATACAGTGTCAGTGTCTGACTCTGTGCACCGACCCTCATCAGTTCATATTAGCTCTAACTCTCCTCCTCTTTGTTTGTCCTGACTGAAGGCCATGGCAGAAGAGAGCGGAGATGGTGACAAAGTGAAAGTGATCCAGGATGAGCTGAACGAGCTTGAGGAAAGGGCGGAAGCGCTCGACAGACAGAGGACCAAAAGCATCTCTGCCATCAGGTCTGTCCCCTTTAAATCTAAACACTGTGAAATCTCTCTGTAGTCATTCTC